TAAGAACCTATTAAGAACCTAGATAGCCTAAATTTATGTTAACCACCATTTATGTAAGAACCTATTTAGGCTAACCCTGGAAAATGTAGGTTCTTACTCGTGGGTTTTTACTGTATTGGGAAAACAAAACATACAAGCTAAAGAGGTCTATTGGTCACTGCCACGTGCAAGCGATTGGCGTATAAATTAAAAATACGTTTTACGTTAAGAAAATGAAAACAAAGAACAATTATTACGTAGATTTACTATTATGTTGACAAATATGTAAAGAAATAGTATAGTAAGCAAGCTATTGCTGAAATATAAAAAAGATCTTATAAAGGCAAAACCACAGTGACAAACCAGCGAAGAATGACAGATATGTTTAGGGAGGGTAACCTAGCTTGGATTCGCCACTGCCATGATCAACAGTAATCTTAAATACTCCGTTTAAATAGAGGGAGGAAGATCTTAGAAGGCGGAACACGGCTAGCGCCAAATGTCTTCTGTATTCGATTTACATGCAAAGGGTTGCACCAGTCAGCATCGCCAGGATCTTCCTCGCCGAGAGGTCGCCAGTTTGAGAGCAGAAGGGCGCAAATTGCATTTTTGTGATTGTCGCCCTGCAACTTTACTTCCTTCTCTACTTGGCAGCCACACGAACCAAAATTTTGGGCTTCAAGTAAACCCAACGAAAAGTTGTTCCATCTTCTAGGATCTTCCTGGTGCATCTTCCTCCCTCCATGTAAACAGCCCCTCAGTGTGTATAAACACTGGCCAGAAGACAGGCAACAAAAATATCGTGAGATTCTTCGAGGAAATTTCCCGGTAAACTTTGAAGTTTATGGACGCTTTTACCAGATATACCTACTCACTAAAACCTGGAATAAATCTTTTTAGTTTTTATCAAGAGAGTCGATTTATCAGTAAATCTAGTGTTCATGTGGTTCTCCCCCAACTTTTCGAACATCATATCATCGACTTTCCCTTGGGGTCGATCCCTCTTCCATCCTGCATAGGGTTACCAAAAGCCACAAATACTTTCTTATGGCTTAGGTAGAACAGTAGAGTACTTTAAATCAACACTAAGCTAATATGCTATGTGTCTGTTTGGGGAAGTTGTAATCTTGTAATGCAGGATTATTCGATGAGATTTGTACGAGTATTATGATACTAGATGCTCCCTTTAAGGCTAGAACTTTGCGGCTATATTTCTGGAACACGGGTAGCTAGCCGTAAATCAAATCTCGGTATTGAAAGAAGACCTATTTCTGTTAAAAAAAATCCTGGATGGACTCAGATTGTACGAGGTCTTGTTGTCTTATCGCCTTTCTATTTTCACAGTCATGCTATCGGGTCCTTCCTTTGTAGAGAATTACTTTGTGTATGAATTATAATGTGTCAACGTCCTTAACCTGATCGAACTGTCCGTTTTTCTTGTGCTTATGCTTATGCTTATGTCGACCTAGTTTTCACTTGCTTACACATGTGCTTGTCCTTATGCGCTAGTGAATACCAGGCTGATGAAAAAAAGAGCGCGAAATTAGGCAAACTTAAAAAAGAATTAAACAAATAAGAAGATCCCATAATCTACATTCTTAAGAGCGACGGTCAGGAAAAATCGTCCAAAATCTTAATTATACCACATGTTAAATATTGCCGTCGAAAATGAGTAACGAACTTAAGTTTTTGTTATCCTAAAAAACCTATTCCACATTTTTGAATTATCTCAACACGACGAGCCTCACTATTATCCTGAAAGTATCTTAACAATTTTTCTGTTCATGGAAAGTGTCCAAATTTCTCCATGCAGCTTCGTCTGCGAACACGAGGAAAGTGGGAAAGTTGATGTTGGCGAATAACCTGAACTATTCTAATTTTTCTCGCAAATAAAAGGCTTTCGGCAGGAACAATCTACATTAGATTTCGTATCTACCTAAAAGCTATCTATGAACAAAAAATGAAAGAAATTGATTTTTCAGTTGTTGCCGCGAAACTCCAAATTCTCTTCTAGCCTGTTCACAGGCTAATTCTCTTCATGCTATTTAAATCACACATTTAGACATTCATTTAAAACCTACCTTCGAAGTTCAGGAATTTTCATGGTAGGCCGGCAGTAATTGTGTAAACACTTCCGATTTCGAAACGCACAAAAGTAGATATTTACAGTCTAAACTCGTTGTTCGTACTTCTTGTAGGTTTTCCCATTGCAAAGTTGCTTTTTCCAATCAAAGAGTGGGGTACAAAGTACCCTGGCTCGAGAGGTCCGTTCTCAAAGTACCTAATATGAAATAAACCGTGCTTACGGTTTGATAAGGCTCCCGATTTGACTTCGCCGCGAACCAACAGTATCGATAAGAAAAAAATATCCTCTGGAACCCAGGGTAGGTACAAAGGTGAAACTGGGTCACTTTTAGCCATTTTGAAACGCTGAGCGCTACCAGCCGGTAGCCTGCGATCATGCCCTCTCTCTTTATCTCTGTAATCTGCTTTTGGGAGGAGCCAAAGAAGCAAAGAAGCAAAAAAATAAAATAAAATAACGCCTGATCTCAGGTTACCAGCCGGCGACTCTGCGTGACAATAGGGAACTTAAGATAGAGACGTTTTCGGGGCGACGGCAACTTCAACCGGACGTGACATCATCATTTGTTGGATATTGCGCATGCTTGTGGTCACCACCTTGCCGTCGTGGTCCCGTCGGCGACGTGAAACTGGTCTGTTTGGCGTTGTGGCGAAAACGTGAGTATTTAACTTTCATTTCAATCAGGTTTGTTGCGTTTAGCAACCAGCATTTTGCAGATTATCGTTCTTAAATTGTCCTTGTTTTCTTTGAGGCACATTTCAAGCTCGATTTCCAAGCTCTGTTATCTAAACTTACATCTTTGAATGTTTCTATGTTTTCATGTCTCAGGGTCAAGATCCAACTTGGCAAACAGCCAACCGTAAGTGAGCTTGACATGGGACAAAATTTTCCCACGAGCCAAATAAAAGTATCCAGACAAAAAATATGAACTCCGATATTTCAATTGTGTGTTTTTAGTTCGCTCTTTTCGTTAGAATATCGTATAAATGAAG